GAATTGTTCGTGAACAGAAGCGTTCGTGAACCGAGGTACCACTGTATATATATTTCAGAGATTTCAGTTGTTATTGTTGTATTGGCTGCTGTTGCTGTATTTGTACAGCCTTTGACTTATTAAAGCAGTTGTAAATTCATAAATATTTGGAGGACACCCAGCCTATTGATCTGCTTTAATACATCTGTTTTGTTTGATGTTGTCCTTTATTTAAAAAAAGAACAATGTTTGCTGCTTGCCCACAGATTTTGGTGGGGATACAGAAAATCAGGGAAGGGGGCATAAATCTCATATCCTGAATTGCTGCTTTATCCCGATTATCATTAATAGCAGAACATCTTCTGGATTTCAGTGGAAGCACTGCTGCTTTTCACCGTTTAAAAATTAAATCAAAATGGGTCTCAATATCTGATAGTGAGATTGGTGAAATAGTGCAATCGATAGGGGAAAAAAGACACAACAGCTTACTGTTCTTTGCAGCTTTTTATAAATAAAAATGAAAAAAAAAACCATTTGAGAGCTCCATCACTGTGATGATTTCTAGCGGGATATGTGTGGCATTCTATAAGAGTATTAACAAATTCAGGATGTGATTGGGGAATTACATTTTAGTCAAAATCGTAGAGAGCCAAATTCAGTCAGTTGTCTAGTTGTATGTGTCTAATGCTGCTTAATGGCACAACTACTGAAGGGTTTTACACATCTTCATTTTTCTTTCAAGGCACACAGGCCCAATTGTAGACACATCTCATCCATAGCTACAATCAATACTGAGTATGCCTTGCACCGCAGACCCGAGTGGCATGTAATTATGAGGCTATATTGATTTTTCTCACAAAGGGGTTACTAACATACAAAAAGCAGCTTGACTTTCAAATGACTAGACCGACAGCCTTTTTTTTTTCTTTGAGAAAATTAACACGGTTTGGTGAAAGGTCTGAGTCCCATCCCGGGCACAATGACAACAATTTAAGGAGGGCCTCTTTCTCCCTGGTTATAAAAATCATTCTAGATTATTCCAAGGTGTTTTGGCCATCCTAGAAAAGATTTGTGCCTGAACTCTATGTCTGTCAGAGCTTGCTAATACCATTCTTTTAAAAGCAATGACCTAGTTTGTTCCAGTTCATCCAATACAGAGTAATAAAGATGAAATGATGAAATTATAGATGGATTGCATATTAGCTCTTGCAGGCATAATAGGACTTTAAGGCTCCTCCTCCTCCTTCAGAAGTCATTAATATCTTGGGAGAGCTCTTCCATGAATTCTGTACTTAATGTCAGCCTCACCCTTCCACCTGCATTTTGGGAATCATAAATGCAATATTGTAAGAAGTACAAGACAATCTATGCAGTGAGAATCACAATGAGTGCCACAGATCATCAAGCTTTTCCCTTGTCCTTCTCTTCCTACCTCCAATGACACTGTAACAGAACTCCTGCCTGAAATCTCCCACAATCAAGTGAGATTTCAGTCATCTCAGTCCATGAGCTGATGAGAATGCCCCTAAGATGGCCCAAATGTTGCAAGGCTGAAACCATTTTTTCCTAAACTATTTGGAGAAGGCAAAGTTTAAAGAACAAAGCATATCCTGGTGCTCATAGATATTGTTGCTGAACTTAAGTTCCCCAAGTGTGATTGCACTGGTTTAATATTCATATTTTTGTTTTTAAACCATTTGTTAATTACTAAATAAACAGTGGGCTGTAGAGGAAATTAACTTTACTATTGTCCATACACTGGTACAAAGAAGAGCATATTTCTTAACATATGGCAGGACTTCTTATGTAAAAGACTGTTCTTCTGCTGAATCTAAGGATATGTGGGTCAAGGCTGGTCCCCCTCAAATTATATGACCAAACGTAACTCTTATAGCCAGTATGGGATACAGCAGAAAGGATCTTCATTGTTGTTTTGTTTGTTTAAAGCACATGCTTTGTTATGGACACAAGTGTTATAATCTTGTTTGATATCTATTCTAGTGGTCCTACCATGTTATCTAACTTTGGGGACATGGAGAAGCATCAGTTAGTGGCTGTTAAATATAACAGAGGCGTTAAAGAACAGGTTCTGGGCATCATGGCCACTGTTTTAGATTGAAACCCCAGGCTTTCAGCACAGTCTGGGACTCAGGTTGTCTACTTCTGAAATAGACGAATGTAATCTCAGAAAGATTGTTCTTAGCATGGGATCCAATAATACCGGTTTCTATCAAGTCAGAGAGAAACTGATTTGATGATTTATTAGACCTTATTGTGATATATCTTCAACTTCTTTAGCAGTGGATGATTCAGATGTGGTATCCGGTTCTCTTAGACTTAGAACATGGTTCCATTTGTTTGGTAGCCAGATGATGCCCAAAACTCTTTCAAAAGGATTTCCTTATATGAAATCCACTCCATTATTGCCACAGCTAAAACACTCCTATTCTCTCACTGTGAAGTAGGCTGATATGGGTCCAATTTGTTTTCCCCAGATATATTTGGGATTACAACTCCTACAATTCCCAGATGGCTCGAATTCTGGAAATATGTGGTCTCAGTACATATGGAGGACTTTAGGTTACAAGCCTGCTAAAGATATGTTTTTCATGCATTACACAGTTTAGCTTTTGTCTTTGTAAGCTGTAGCCAAAATTATTTTTCTGCCTTCTTTCTGCTCTGCAGAGTTGTTGTCTTCTGACACCAGCAAAAATTATGTAATTTTCCTAGTTAGTTTTGGTCATTTATTCCCACCTTCTTTTACAGCAGCAAAGGAGAGAGAAGGAGCTAAGAAAACAACAAGAGAGGGAGCAACGGCGGCATTATGAAGAACAACTGCGGCGAGAAGAGGAAAGGAGACGGGCTGAACATGAGCAGGTGACTAGCTTCAACTCCAAATGTTTTGTATTTTTATAGTACATGCTGCTTTCTAAGTCCCAAACCCAGACTTGCCACTCAAAAGGGAAGTTCAGTATGACCCAACTTCTTCATATTACATATAAGGTTGGGGTTGGACTGAGAAACCCAAGTTTAATTCCTATAACTGACATAAATTTTATTTATTTATTTATTTAATTTATATAGCTGCCCATCTCACACAAAGTGACTCTGGGTGGTGTATATAATATAAATAAATATAATATAATATAATATACATTGTTGCCTTCCACATAGTGGTTTTTTTGGGTCTATGTGTTTTGATGTAGTGGTTAAAGGTGTCAGGTTAGAAACTGGGAGACTCTCTCAGCCCTAGGAAGAAGGCAATGGCAAACCACTTCCCAAAATTATTGTCAAGAAAGCTGCATGGGCGTGTCCAGCCAGCCACCAGGAATCAAGACTGACTCAAAGATGCACGCATGCATGCACGTGCGCACACACACACACTGAATTCAGTACTGTAGTGGAGTTTTGACATGTAAACCTGACTGTGAATTGGGATCATCAGCTGATCCTTCCTCAAATGTTAGACATGTCACCAGGATGTATTTTGCTCTAATGCTTCCTTTGAGGAATGCCATCCTCCTACAAGTACACCTGACTTTTGGAGCTGCAATCCCCTGCTCACTTCTGAGAGGGTCTCATTGAATGTAGCAGAATCTGTTTCCTGGATCTTAATTCCTGCTGTTTTTCAGTTCTTCCTGCAGTCTATAGTTTTTGTATGCAGAAATGTTCCTGATTCAGTCTCCAGGTAAAAGAATCAGGGGAAGATCCAAAAAATGTCTCTCCCTGAAATCCTTGAGAGTTTCTTCTGTTTAGAGTAGATGATACTGGGATAGGTGGCCATTGTGTAAGCTACAGTGGATGCCAGTGTAGTGGAAATTCAGACTGTTATTTTGGGAGGGCAGTCGCTTTTATCAGTGCACTCCTTATCCTAAGTCCATGGTTACTTCTCCCCACCTCAGCTAAGTTTTTAGTTCTAAGATCTGTCTGCAGGTCTCATTTCAGTTTAGTAAGCCCTTACAGGTAATCTTCCTTTAGTGAGCGCAACTGAGACTGGCAACTCGGTTGTTAAGCAAAATGGTTGCTAAGTGAAATCACATGACTGTGACTGTGCCTACGATTTTACTTCAGCTTTCCTTTGCTTTACAGCATCAGAAGGATATGACCCCAAACAGTCAGGTGAGCCCAAGTGGTGGGGAAGGTTTCCAGAATTCAACTGACAAGGAAGCTGCACTGTGGAGAAAAGTAGCTCAGGAAGAGATAGCTTGTTTAGGCAATCTCTCTGTCCTGTGAGGTGGCAAAAAAAAAAAAAAGCAGAATGGGTCAGGCACAGGACAACTGGTACTAACTGACTGTAATGGCAAACACATGACTGAGAGAGATGCTGCAAAGGTCCTAAATATGGGCATTGGTCGCAAAGTTACTTTTTCATCACCAAGTAACTGTGAATGGTCACTGCCCAGGGCAGTCACTAAATGCAGTCTACCTGTATAAGGTTTCTGACAAGATGATTTGCAATAGTGTAGACAGTTCAACATCTCCATGTTCTGTTCCAGCTGCATTTCAAAATCAGTACAGACTTGTTTTAGCATCTTCACTTTTGACAAATTTAAGAAACCGTGTTTCATTTATTATACTTGTGTAGTCTGTTACTTTCAGTGCTAAGGTGTCAATCACTTGCTTCATATTGATTTTATTTGGGTGATTTCTAGCAGCTGAATAATTAATAAAAAGTTTTAAATGTGTATTTCTCACCTTTGCTTGTACAAAAGTGATTGGTAATATCTGTTTTTAGGTGATGTCAAGTTTCCAACAGACCATATACTTAGGGAATGTGTTTAGAATTGGAACTGAATGTAACCGAATGTAACTCATGATGAGCCTGTGTTATAGCCAGTCTTAAGTGCATTTTTTTTTAGTGAACCATGGTTTATTATTATACCCAGACTCTTATGGTAATCCTAGCTGTAGTTTGTTGAAGCAAGACAACATCGTAGCTCATGGTTTGAAGTAGCTTTAAAAAAAAAAAAAAAAAGCCATAATTAACTTTTTTCGAGATTTACTGGTTTCGGATAAAATGAGAAGTTGCAGTTAGTTATGCCCAGACTTGAAGAAGGGAAGAAAAAACTGTGAGTTTGCAACTCTCTGTGGCATATTTCTATAACAATAAACCATGGATAATTGTGATATCTGGCTATAGCTATTGGTTTTAATGCTATTTTGCTGAAATTCAGCATTCAGATAATCTGTTTTCACTGTAAAATGTTGGCTGTAGAGATGGGGCAGTACATAATCACACACTTTCAAATATGAAGTATCTGGGACTGAGAAAATCTTGCAGCCATCATTATCCTGTCCTTTTCCCCCATTCCACCATCACAATAATTCATCCCTTCTTCACTGTACATTTGCCCAATTGAAACACATCAGCATTTCTAGGTACAGAATTGCATTTCTCAGCCAGTGCTAGTAGCACCAGCTATTTTGAGAAATGGCATGTCTGAGTAGAATATTTGTTATCATATTGGGTCAACAGTAGTTAAACATTTCTTTGAACAATGATCAGTTGGTGGTACAAGGTGTCCGCGCCATACCTCCTTTTGCATAATTTGAGTAACAGTAGCTCACTTTTTTCATTCTTATGTATAACATATATTCAACATTAAATAAAACAAGACTCTGTTACTTTCTCAGCAACAGTTTATTCAGCTTGTGTAGTACTCAGCCAAATGCATTGCACTGTATTCCTGTTTTCCTCCTTTGGTTCCATCATCCTCTATCAACCAGCAATCTTTAATGTTTATGCAATTTTTTTTCCTACTATTCACGTAGCCACTTTTTTGCCTTTGGAATTATGGTTCTTCCTTTTCTTTCCTTTTTCTGCTTGCTGCTGCCCACCATCTCCAGGAATACATCAGGCGACAGTTAGAGGAAGAACAGAGGCAGTTAGAGATCCTGCAGCAGCAATTACTGCAGGAACAAGCTCTACTTCTGGTAATGGGGAGGCAGTATCTATCTCACGTCCTTTATCCCATCCTTTCTGTCTGTACCAAAACTGCATGCTGTCAGCCTGCGGATACCCACACTTTTAGGCTTATAGGGTTGCCACCTTTTTTTCCATTTTTTCTTTTCGTACTTGAAAATATTCAAATGTTGATTCATTTGGCATTGATAAACATTTCTGGTATCAGCAAAGCATTGGGGGTGGAGGGCATGCCACCAAGACTGGATCTAGCCGGTTACACAGTTTTATCTGGTTTGAATCAGGACACAAATTCAGTTGCAAATTGTTAAAAACACATTTTGAATAGGAGAGAGCAAGCAAGAGCTTCTAAGACAGCAGCTGGCCAGCTTCTGGCTATTGAGCTGTCTGGTACAATAGTCCAAGCACCCATAAAAAGAAACCCCAGGCTTGTGCACAGGCTACTAGAAGAGTCCCCAAATCTTGCAAGATTAGTGCAGGATTTTTGTGGTTTTAATGTGAGATTTGGGCAGATTATTTCCTGGGGGCTCCAGTGGGCATCCTAGTGCTTTGGTGTGCTGCGTTGCCAACCTCTATTCTAAACCTTAATTTAAGTTTCATTGAAACACCTGGATTACATCTTCCAGGATAGTTTTCTGTTTCCGAATTCAGCTGCTGATGGATTAGATTTCTGCCAGGATCAAACCATGGACATCTCAAGCCAGAGTTTCAGTCCAGGTTTTTTTTTTTAATTGTTTCTCCTTCTGCCTTCTACATGTGCTTTCAGCCTAGGGTGAAAGAAAGTTTCAGGCCCAGCCTATAACTAGAGACAGCTATAGCCATCCTGGAGCATATATGCCAATTCAGTTTAGTTCTTAAATAATAATACTCAGTTTCCTGGTTTTGGAGACCCTTCCCTTGTCAGTAGGAAAGCAGATTACTCTCTATTTGTAGCCTGCAAGTAATAATGAGGTGTAAATGGGGACTAGCAAAGAAAAGGTGAGACCAGAGAAAGAAACAAAGATCAAAAAACAAGAATGCAAAAAAGTGCTAGTAAACAAAAGGAGCTGGGGTTAAACATCTGAAGTGGCAATCCTAAAAGGCTAAGCTAATATGGAAAACCATACTGGGGAGAAACTGGTCTGCTGAGGCTGAGTTATATCTCCCACGAACAAGAGAGCATGCTGCATCCGTTTCTCTCTGAATGCAATCCTAGCAAGAATTCTGAATGTTTATTTTGCCTTTTTATTAATAATTGGAGATGTGATATGGGGGGTGGGAGTTCATGGCTTGTATATCTTTGGCTACAGATGCCTTTCTTTGTTTGGCTGCTTCTAGAATGCTCTCCGTTTTCTTGACAGGAACATGCATCTTCTCAAACATCTCCATTCGTTACTGAGAATTAAGACTCCTAGCAGTCTGTCCTAGAATACAATATCCATAAAGAGTACACACTCCCTCTAATTTCTTTACTTGGTTTTATGGGGTTTGATGGCATGCTTAATATAAGCCGCTTTCTTTACATTCCTGATAGAAGAGGGGGGGGGGTATCACTGCTTTTTTTATGCTGCTAAATGTCTTGACACTTTTTTACTGCTAAATATCAGGTACAGATACACACACTTTTCCTTGTACTTTCTCTGTCCCTTCTCCTAGGTCAAAGTTACATCTTCTCAGTATTTGGGATATGTAGTTTTGGGACTTTTTTTAACCATCATTGTATTAATTAGTGACGCTATTCAGATTTTATTCCCTTGTTAATAGTAGGATCAAGCAGACAAACCTATTTCTGCATAAAGATTGCAGTTACTATCAGCCATTTTGATAATCCTGCATTAGGAGTCAATTAAAATAAAAATTCAATTAATTAGATTGAAAAATAAATGGCTTTCAAGTTTAAAGTTTTCACTGCACTGTTGATAGCATCAGCTTGGAGGTATGGTGATTATAATTCTCAGATAGCCTAATAGTACTATCCATATTTTAAATGAGAATAATTTTAAGGGCCCTTTAAACACAGTCCTAATTTATTTCATCCTGTTTGAACTGACATCATCACAGAATATCATACTTTGGAAGTTTGTGGAGGGTTCCCCCCCACCCTTAAAATAATTTTTTTACATTAAAGCCTAAAATGAGATTGAACAGAGATTGAATTCCTTCCCTTCAAATAGCTCAGGTAAATCCATGTTTGTGATGGATGGATTTGGTAATAAAATTAATTAGGAATGGGCAATGGGCAAACACTGTGTGTATGCCGAATAAATAGAGTTGAGATTTTAATTCACTCTTTGGTAAGGGCCTGGCCAAAGTTCACACTACCCAAACACAAAGAATATTGGAGCCCATACAAATGCACAGTCAGCCATCACAATTGTGATATCTTTAATGTTGATTAAGTTTTCATCCAGTAAACACTATCTTTCAGACATGGCTGCTTCCTCACAGCAGCATTCTGTTTATCCCGCAACTTCATATCCTACTCTGGCTTGTTAATATTTGTGTGGTGCGTGTGTCTTGGTAGGAATACAAGCGCAAACAATTGGAGGAGCAACGGCAAGCAGAGAGGCTACAGCGACAACTGCAACAGGAACGAGACTATCTAGTTTCTTTACAGCAGCAGCAGCGACAAGAGCAGAGACCAACTGAGAAGAAGCCTCTCTATCATTACAAGGAGGGAATGAATGCCACTGAGAAGCCAGCTTGGGCAAAGGAGGTAGGGATGGTCACATTTTATCTTGGAGTAGGTAAAAATCAGAGTTTAATCAAAATCGAGTTTGCATGCATTTTCAGCCTCCCGCCCACTCCCAGAACTCTTTTTGATTATTTGGCACTAATTCTTTATGCCCAATAATCTCATCGGTCCTCTGATGTCATCAGGTCCTTGGATCCAACTCAGGGCAAGGGCTAAATGGATTCCAAGGTTCCCTTACAATTCTGAAATTCCATGGTTGTATCATGTACCCAGATCTGGATGGTATGATGTAATTGGGTAAAGTTACCGGTGTGACTAATCCTGGAAAGAAAATGATTCAACAACAAGGTAAAATTACAGTGTTGATGGCCAGGATTTTAAAAACTGAGTATTTTCACTGTTCAAGGGAAGAGATCTGTCCTATCGTAAGTATTGATTACAACTTGAAAAATAAAATTGAACAATATTTGATACCTAATAGAAATATTCTGTTTTTGTAGAAAGACTATGAAACACACAGACAGACAGACAGACAGACATATTTTTTAAAGGTATTATAGGGTCCCAGGCTGGAAAATGCTGGTATGGATAAATGCTCCTTTTAAAAAAGAAAGTCTCCATGTGCGGTACCAGCTGATAAATCTTTGTGCCTAACATTGGCTGTTGTTGCTAGTGCAGCCTTTTGATAGCTCAGGAAAAATTACTGTTGCAGAGCATTTTTAATAGCCTGCTTAATCATGCATAGACTTATGTTACCTATATCTAGAGATATTATATTAAAAAAAAATCTCTCTCGCAGTTTATACATGTTTTAAGTTAGTATTCAAAGGTAATGCACAGCTGTATCAATTTTCCACAGAGTCTAACACAAGAGCAGATAAATACTGTTCCCAACTCATCTAATGAGTAATTGAGGGATATGTGTGCATATGCATGCAAGTGAAATTAGAATATAATTTTTTGCATAGTACCACTGACCAGAAATCTGCACTGTTTTCATCCTAGCTTTTCCCATATATTGTACTGCAGACATTTTGTTTTGAAAACCACATGAAAATGTACCCATTGTTCTCCCCTCAAATGATTTTCAAACATATACATTCAGGGAATACTTTCCACATCAAATCATGTGCAAAAGAATTTTGCATACATAGTGCAAACCTCAGCGCATTGCAGAAGTAATATATGATTACATTGATGTGAAAGCATTGGTTAGGAGTTAGTCAATCTCATAATTGCCATGTAGGAGAGTGCTGCGAGTGTATACTCAGAATATCTTATCCTTCCATGAAAGTACATATTTTTGCAAAAGATAAATTATAAGCAAGCAAATTTTCAGAGAAAATTTAAAGATCTCTCAGGACAATGAAAAAGCCATTAGCTGTTTCATATTAAGTAGCTGCCCAGTGTATCATCTCATACAGCAAGCATTGGCTGTTGTGCCAACATTTTTAAAAAATCCATTACCTATTTGATCATTTAATTGTCCATTGCACTTCTGGACTGAATCACCTCTTTGATGCATGTAATTTTCTTGGTAGCTGCATCTTGGTTAACCTTGTTAGTAAGAGACAAGGATGTGGGGATGCCCAAACAACAGAATGAATTTTTAAGATTCAGTCCCAGTTTTTTTAAGCCTGATTCCTGCTGGAAGTGAGGTCAGAGGAAGAACCTGCTCCCATCTCTATTGCAATTATTATAGCGGTGCCAGCTACTGAATAAGAAGCTGTTATATTCACATAATACACTTCCTCTGAAAGAAAAGATTGCCCATTCAAAAGCAGATGTTAGATACCACTGGGGCACAGTAATTGCTACCACTTTGAAAAGCTGCTGGTCTCTTAATAACTCCTGTTTTACTGAGTGACTGTTACAGGGCATTTCATTATGATGGTTAAGACGTAAGACCTAGATGGGAAGACCCAGCTCTGAGTCCCCACTTGAACATTGAGATTGCTGTGTGACTTTAGGTGAGCCACTTTCTCTCAACCCAGCCTACTCTACAAGCATAAAATGAAGGAAGGCCTCCTCATCTTGAGCTCTCAAAGGAAAAGCTGGAATGTAAATGCCTTTATAATACACGGAGTTCCTGGAGATCACAGCTTTAATTGGCCTCATCTCCCCAAGTCACATTTGTGGTTTTAGGAATTCATTGTAACAGCTCTGGAGAATTTCCAAAAACCTCTTCCTGTATTGTTTGTTTCCCTGGATTGCAGCAAAATCAGAGTGATTTTCCAGGCTCTCTTCTTGATCCATCTAGTAGAATTTGATCACCCTCCAGGTTTAGTGGAAAAAGAATGAAAAGAGAGAATTTTACTGCAAAATAGAAAACTTTACTCATTCTTATTGGAAACATTCATTGCTCTATGTAATGGAGATTCATTTGCTCAATGAAATGGATTCATTCAGATAAAGCAACTGCTATAGTAGTCAAGTTCATGCTTTGCAGGAGAATTTGGGAAATATTTTAAAGAGGGAAGAATGCTCACACTCTGCTAAAATAATTTTTAAAAAGCTTGTGCAACATTTTAGTCAGTCTTGCATCCTTAAGTAAGGTTATAATAGCGAGACCTCAGATAAAATAGCTCCATATAAAATTATTGTTGTTGTTATTTACAGCCAAAAAACTTGAATAACAAAGTACAGATGTAATTTAAAACCTTTGGCATACAATAAACAGTTTATCAAATAAAATAAATCAATAGATATTACAAAAATCATTTAAAACTCAAACATCTTAATTTATTAATAAAGATCTTGTTTCTATAACCATAGTTAAAATTTGGCTGTTGCTATTGTAATTTTAGGATTTTTATCTGAGCAAAATTTAACTCATTTGTAAATACCTATTCCTGGTCTTGATTTTAACATAGGCCAGCTAATATCCTGTTGAAAACTCGTGTAAAATTCACAGTGCAATAAAATATGATCCACAGTATCAAGGTCAATATCATTATAAGGGCAATACCTTTGAGAGATGGGAATCTTTTGAAATCTACTGTGTAACATATTTGATGGCAATGCTTTTAATCAGGTTTTTGAAAAGGCTATTCTATATTTACTTAAGTGCATAATTGTAATTTATTCTAAAGGTCAGATCATATAATGAAACTTTATAATAGTGATTACTTTTGCAACAATTTCTGTTCAACTATTTCTGCATAGGATCCACATACAGTAATAAGGATTTAAGGAAATGCAGGCATCAGGGGATTGTGGCTCTATTATCTGTTACCAGTGATTTCAGGGATGCTGCTCACTGCATCCATTTTAAACAGTGCTAAGATAACTTCAAATATATACATATCTTCTAGTCTACATTTAAACAATATGAATGGCTTGGAGCAGCCTTTCCCTGACCCTCTAAATATTAGATTGCCGTACTCAGGTTTCTAACTATACACTGCGCAAACGTACTTGCTACAAAGTGTGGTTTGTTGGGTTAAAATAAAATCTCTAAGTTGAGTACAGTTCCTGTTATTTCTTGGATACATCTGAATAGCTTTCTGGGCCACGAAGTGGAATTGGTTTGTCATTGCCTTCTTCCATGTTGCTTTTTTCTAAACTTATGGTATTCTGTACAGTTATCTCATCTAAGTAATCACCTGCCTAAATCTGCTTACCTTCCAAGTAGCAACAAGGTCAGATATGTGCTTCTACCTGCTTAGAGAGTGTTGGTTCATATGGTTTTATAAGCAAGCCATTTCATGAAGGGTATCTTCACTAAAAATCGATGGAATTTCCACATTCAGAGGGACCCAATGAATACCAGTCACCATAAGGAAAGTCATTTATTTAACATTCTCTCTGTGACTTCCAAGAAGTTCACAAACTTATAGAAATGGGGCTTTGGCCTGGTCTGTTAAGGCTCTTAGCGCATTTTCTGTGCTAAGGGGTATATGCACATTGTTGTTTGCTTGTTTATGAGTTAGGGCATCTAGTTTCCTTGAATTTCTGAATCAACAATTAGTTTTCCAAGTTTTCTTCTCTTGTTACTTGAGCACAGTACAGGACATTGAGCAATTGCATGTTATCTATGAGATTCATTAAAATGTGTGTTTTAATAGTTTAATTTCTGTAATCCTACTTCCCCAGGTACAGCAACGAACTTTTAATAACCCGCCTGTCATTCCAGCTAAACAGAACCATAGTTCCATTTCCAAACACCTGGTGCCCTTTCTTATTCACAAAGACACAGTTCTGCAATCCAACTCTAAGCTTTATCCTAACATTTTCAAACTGCATGGTAAGAAAAACCTACAAGATCAGCAAGGATTAAATCATAAAGGAGAGGACATGTTGGCTTCTACTAGAGAAGTACCACTGTTGCCTGTCATTACAATTTCCATGCCAAGTCCTCAAGAAGATCCAAAGAAAAGACCCATTTTGATAAACTCAGAAACTAGGTTTGGTTTTCCAGACCAAAGGAAAAAGAATAGCAATGTGAAGTGCTTCAATGGATCTCGATCACAAGGGTGCAGCCCTGATAGGCAGACATCATTGGAGGTCAGGTCAGTGTCTTCTCCTCATCTTCCAGAAAGAAGTAAGCCACCATTGCCTCCCTATAAAATCAAAATGAACTTCCAAGAGCACAGTGGAGACAAGGGAAGGAAATACCATCCTTCACATTTATACCCAGGTGTTATTTCTCCTTCAAGGAGTGTTCCATCCTTGAATGTCTTGAAAATGCATGATCATCTAGATTTAAGTGCTTCTAGCCCAGCTTGTGTCTTGAGGTATCAGAAGATACAAAATGATCAGAAGAAACACCATGCATCTTTGGAGAGTGTCTTTGAACATAATCTTTCTGTTGGGAACCATCATGCACAGATGCAGAGGAAAATAATAGGACAAAGTACAGAGCAACTTTTTGTTCCTTCCCTGGATCTTTCTCCACAAATTTCTCAGTTGAATGTATCCAGAATGACACCCTTATCTTCCTCTTCTCGCTCAGTATCTTTAAATGCCCTTTCAGTTTCTTCTAACTCTGACCTGGTTTGGCCTTCTGAAGCATCCTCTGGTAATTCCTTTGGTACCACTATGCAGGTGAATCTGGGCTCATTTTCTAACTCTTCCTGTTTTTCTTCCAAACCTTCTCCACAAATACCTAATAAGAAACGGTCATTAGGTTTGCCTGTGGACAATTATATGGCTCTATCATCTAGCACACCTAACCTGCAATATACTTCCAGTGGGTAAATTCTCCTACTATTGCCAATAAGCTACAATGTTTTTCCCATTCTGTAACTAGGGTTTATCAAGGGCTTATAGCATGTCTGAAACAAATAGCATCAAGCAAGAGATTTGGTTATTATTTTGCTTTGAGCTGCTATCATTTAAACAAGCCATTTGGATATTTGTAACATAAGCTGTTACAAAACTATGAACAGGAGCTGTTGTTATAAGAGATATTTCAGCTCTTGTCTCCTCTAACATGATATCTGCTGCAGTGCGTAAGTGCATTATCTAAAAATGAATTTGATTTCACATGTTATATATTTATCTCATTTATCTCATCATCTGGCTAAAACTCAATTAATCAGCTCATTTAATTTGATATCAGCATTCCATTGTTCCATTCATTCTTATTTGGTCCTGTTTCTAATGAAACATGATCAAATACTCTTGGCAATCTTTCCTTAATACTCAACAGTTGAGTATCATAGCTACATTCTGTTCCTTGTTTTGAAAGGACCTTGAAATTATTCATTCTTAGTCTGCTGTTTTCCATTACATTTAAATGTAAAAATCTAACAGATGTTTTCTCTCTTTTTGGAAGAACATGGAATACATTAGCAAAATTTTCCTTGTCAGGATTGTATTTAGGTGTTCCCAAGGAAAAATATACATATGGTGCAAATTAGGGGAGGAATTAAAAAGAAGGAATAACTTCCTTTTCCCTCTTTGTAAGATTTTGTATTTTTAAAACATTATGTTGCTCAATGAGATAAGTTATTTTTTGTTACAATGGTACTTGCAACTCTCCAGGGTCTCAGGCCAAAGTCTTATCTTGTAATCGAGCAAGCTCAGCTTCTAGTGACTTGCATGAACACATCCATACAGTTTTCTTGATGTGATAAGAAAGTGGTTTGCCATTGCAATGTGCCATTGCAAAGTGGTTTGCCATTCCAGGATTTCCTGTTTTATTTCCCAACTTCCACCCTGGATTTTACAAATGGTCCCCAATCAAATTCAAAGACGTCAGAGCATCTTTCACTTTCTAAATCAGCCGAGGTCAACCAAGTGCTTCATAGATAATTTTATCTTGTATTATTGCATTATCTTACAACTGTCCATAGTCTCCCACCAGCTGCTACATAACTATTTTAGCTAGAGATTACCAGATTCCTCTGAGATCTTCCATGTTATAATCTACCACTGCACTTGGGTCTCTCTCCAACTGAGCTACCTCGACTGCTTTCTGAGTAAAAAGGCAGAATATAGAATGAATGATTGAAAGTATAAACAACTTCCATCCATTTTAGAGAGAGTGCTAACTTTCTCTCCTATCATGTGACATCAGTACAATACAATAATTAATTAATTAATGCTTTATTACAGTCAGTGACCAATACAAATGCAATACTTGGCATTTTCTTAATATTATCAATATTTCTTTTCAAAATAATGTTATTAATTTACTTGAAAACAAGCACACACACTTACAGATCCCAATTATTGCAAGACCATCCGTCTTCTTTGAATACAGACACACATTTCTAATCTTTATGAAGAATATAAATACTTGTTATAGAATTTAACACTCACATGAGGTGGCATTTTCAGTCAAATTTTCCATAAGCAAACTCATATATTTTTGTTCTTTATTGCTCTTTTGCTTTGAGTACAGGTGTTACAGCCCATACTGAAGATATTTTATGTAAAGTGCTTAAATGTAAAAGTCCAATTGTTTTTAAGTCTCATTATGTCAAACTACTGATGGACTTTCAGAATTTTTTATGAATCTTTAGGACTAGACCTTTAAATTTTAGCCTGAAGGAGCCAGATATAATAATAATTTTTAAAAATCAGCTTTAATTCCAGTAGTAAGAAATAGTTCTGAGTTATCAGCCTGATATTTGCCCTAAACTCAAGTGGGCATTTTGAGTATTTCAGACTGTTGAAGGTTTTGTGGAGCACTGAACGTGAAGCTCAAAGGGTCGCTTTCCCTTTCCTGCTATCTGTCTGTCTATCTCTCATTTCCTTTCCTGATGGAAGGTTAGGATGGTAGATGACTAAGAATTTTGAAGATACCTTCCACAAAAAATGATAATGCAACTAATATCTTTTGCTGTTCAAATTCATATGCTCTGAATACCAAAACAAACTAAAACAAAAATCTCTTGCTTTGCTTTGCTTTGCTTTGCTTTGATGAAGCAAGAGAAGCCCAGTGAGCCTTGCCCGTTTTCAAAGGCACCTTCTGTGTCTTGTTGTTTTAAAACCCTTCTGCAAGGGAAGGGATCTGTTGCAGAAGAGCAGAAAAGGGCCACAGGCAACCTAGAAAATCGGGGGTGCGTTGGAAGGATGGCTGCTCTCAACTGGTTGTGCCTTTTTTGATTCTGCTGGAAAAAGTAATAGCTGAGAGTAATTTCATATGCATTACTTTATCTCCAAAATGTAATCAAAGGAGGTAAACATAAATCAGTCTACATTAAACAGCAGTTTTCAAGATGTCACATCCTTTTATGTACATCACTTCCATAAGCAAAGGAATGCATATACCCCAAAAATATTCTTATGCTCATCAAACACCAGTTAGGACTTGAATTAGCTGTTGCCGTGGGAGGATGTGAAAATGTGAACCTTTTGTTGTTTGTAATCTGAAATGCTTCACATCTGGCTGCTTCTGGCATCTTTCTTTTCTCTGGTGTCTCCAAAAAGAAGAGGCATTTCCTCCTAAGTTCTTTCATTCCTTGAATGAAGAAATATTTTTGTGGCCATGATCGTCTAAGGGGGTGGGCTGCTTAATATTCCATGCATGCTTGAATCTGATTAGACGAAGAATCAAGTGCATCTTTTAAAATATTGGTTGAAAATGCTAATAAAAGAGACTGCATAAGTTTACTTTGAATTCACATTGTAAAATGCTTTCCCTTTTTAACAACTGGTGGCGGTGGAAGAGTTGGGGAACTTCTGTTTATATCCCCATTGCTGCTGTGATTGATCCCAACTTAAATAAAGGTTAAACTGTTTTTACTCCAAAGTGTGGTTTGTTCAATTGTTTACTAAAGTTTATAAACAACAGTGAAAGCTTTGACAAATAAGTAAAGTGCTAGAGAAAGAAATGTGTGTCATAAAACCTATCTTAAACCCATTTGTTTCAGATGTACTTAGGTCAGTATAAGGCTCTGAGGGACTGAAATCAAATCTGCACTCAGACCAGTGAGTTGGTTGTGAATCAGATCTTCAGAACTGGAGTCCCAGGTGTCTACTGCCTTGTATAACTGAAATGCTATTAAAAGTGGAATGTTAATAGGTAAAACTGTGTAAGTGGATCTCATACTTAAAAATAGCTTGCCTCTCCTCAGATTTTCTGTACAGCCTGAACAAGTATTTGGCTGATAGTTGGCTTGGGCAGAAGAATGAGACAGGTTCTGGTTTGATCATCTTTGGCCTAGGCATAAATAATAGCATTTTCTTTAAAATTCCTCAGAGGCATGCAGAATTTGTCACTAGGTGGGTGGCAACCCAGTATTCACAGAGTTCATGAAGATATGCCTTTATTCTCAAGAAGTGTTGCCATTTATTTTCCTGTTCTCCAATTTTCTTGTGAACATATTTGGGAATTGTAAGGAGATCACAGATTTAGCCTAAAATAATCCAAGAAAATCTATTTAGAGTGGATTTCTCAAAGAAACGAGATACAGCAACATTCTGTTTGAATAAAGCAATGTAGGGATTTTCTCTAACCCCAGTTCCCTTTATTAAGTCATGTAGGAGGAAAACACCTTCAAGGCAGGTCTCGCTTCTTTTATCATAAATATTGCCTGTTTGAAAGCTGATTTAATTATGCAGAGCGCTCTTCCACATCAAGCCTGTTAATAACAAAGTGCTTGAAGGTTTGGTGACGACATCTTAGTTCATGGGTTATTTTAATCTTGATGTTCTGTCTTAATTTCCTGCCAGGGATGGTTCAGCCCAATATGTAACAATTGGATAGGATCCCAGAATGTACTCCTTTATTTCCTCAGGGACTGGAGGATACACTCTGTGGGCTTGAATATTTTGGCAGCTCAGTCAACTGCTTCATGGTCATTTGGAGGATGGCAAACAAGAAATGGAGTTAAAAACAAACAAGCAAATATAATTGTCATAGGATCAAACAAAATTTGGAGCTATTTGTTGGCTCATATATTGTAGTATAAAGCCATGCCAACTACATACAGATACAATATTTTATTATTTGTAAAAATAAGTAATTTATTTCCACTCATTAGGACTATGTGTTCAGGATTAAAGGGGGTGGGGAGAGGGGAAGGATGGAACTGTCAAGGTTGTTGTTCAACCTTTTGCAAAGGAATGAAGTTGTGGGGTTTTTTAAAAAAAAGAGAGGGAGCCAGAGTTCATTTTGATATAGGACACTACAGGCAATCTCTTCTTGCTTTGTCCATTTTCACTCCTCTCCTCTTTCTACCCTTTTTTTTAGCTATTCTTTGAAGTTCAGTGCCATTTCACAGAAAGGGGAAATGAGTTTCCGGAAAGAAGATCCATTCCCGCTTTGCCCATGTATTTTTTTTTTTTCAAAGAAGGGTTCTTCCACCACTCCCGCCAGTATAACAGAGACAACTAAGCATTTGCAAGAAGCAAACAGCTCACCATCATTCTGTCTTGCATTTGGCATCCTAAGGATAACCAAATATCATTGTCCTATCTAAAACAGATTATCTAGTCCTTGTTTTACAATTTTGTAAACCTTTTTTGTAGCATTGTCAGATTAAGAGCACCACTGAAGGTTGGTAAGCATCCATTGGTGATGGTAAGGGTGTGTTACAACAAATTTTAAAAATGCAGGCATTCTAGAAATTAAAGATTTGTTGATGATTATTTGTATTTGATTCAAATCTGGGATTACATTTTGTCTGAAATAGTTTATTTTCATGATATTGTTGGCATAATTCTTTTAATCAAGTTATCCCATTGGATTCTGGCTCTGTTAATTTTTTAAGAAAAGTGTATCATTGACATTTCTTGCTTAAAGCATTGTAATATTTGCTTTGTTGCTCATGGCCTCAGAAGAGATCAAACTCCTCTTGGAACACAAGTGGTAATCCAAGGATTCTACAGTCTCTAACTAGTATTTCCCAAAGCTTTACCACTGGAGACTTACTTTTAAAATGTATAAAGACATCCTTTTGCATTTCTGTGTAAATCTCTATTCAGGACATGCCCCCTCTAAGCTCAGTCATTTGGATGTATTCCTTCATAGCTCAGAGGCATACAGAGTTCTCTAGGTAGGGTTGGGGAAAGACTCCCACCAAAACCTGACGAGCTCCTGCCAGTCAGTTTAGATAATTCTGAAGTAGATGGACCAGTGCTGTAACTCAGTATTTAGCAACTTCCTGTGGTCCATGTATTATACCAGAACAATTGGATGGTCAGCACAGTCTGATTGATAGGAGGCATGGCTAGAACCAAAAATCATACAGAGATTCAGTAGGTAGCCTCTTTTGAGGACAAGTGCTTTGAGCTTGCAGCAGTCTTTAATGTTCTTTTATCTTGGCACACTGGCCATGTTTCAGTGTGCCTTGATGCAAAGTTTGGGAATCTGCTTTCTAACCTTCTTGGGCTGGATATTATCTTCTGGCCTTGCGCTCTTACTGCTGAACTTGCTTTTTTTGAAACCAAAAGCTGGGTTGGATCTGTGTCCAGTAAGTTGCTTGTTGGTTTCATAATGCTACATATGCAGTCCCATCTCTGTAAAGTCCTTGGGATCACAAAATCCAGAAAGGAGGGGAGACAGGCAAGTCTGCTCTGTCTTTGCATCTCTCCTTACCTGTTCCTCTTTCAGTGGGACTTGCTCTTCTTTCTGCTGCTAGATCCAGAGCAGGAGATTTTCAAAAGATAAAATTTGTGAATGGCAGGAATCCATGATCATGGCTGGTGTAATCTGGCATAAAAATGAATTTTCTTGCTTCTGATTTATAATCTTCTGGAGAGCTATAAATGCCATCTGCCTGCTTGGGCAGGGTCTGGAGGGCTGCTTTATCAAGGCAAGTAGGAAAATGTACAAAACCTGTATAGCCATTTTTAAAAGTCGACATCTAAAATATATCATAGCCTGCTAAATATACCCCCAAAATACATTTGGCTCCAACTGTGATAAAAATAGATACTTGGTTATATTACCTTTTTAAAAAGGACTTTCATATGAGGATACATATAGATTTGGATTTATTTCTGCCAGGGTAAGGGAAAAATTAAGGTAGAAAAGGTGTTGGTAATCTGTCCTACAACCTGTTTCTCTATGCATTCAGGCATTTCTTTTGGCCTTTTCTTTTTGTCATCTTCAGTTGGCAACTGTTTACTCAATTACAGTCTGTTTTGTCTATGCTTTAGTCTCCTTGCTAATTACTAGGAAACTATTTAAATTTAGCCATTCAGTTGATTGATTATTTATTTATTTATATGACAGGAGCTGGAGCTGGACTTGAACAAAATTCATAAACTGAACAATAAAAACAGTTAATTTTATTATGCTGTTTATTAATATGAAAGTCCTCTGGAGTAGCCACAATTCATTATTAGCTTGGGTTATTTTTTGTGTTTCAAATGGCTGATTGGAAATATAGACTGAGAAAATGGCTCTACAGGTTCTAGGGGTATTACGGACAGCACCTTCAGACAACTTGAATTCATGGCTTCTTTTCCTGTTACCTCAGGTTGAAGAACGTTCCAGGCTTAACCGGCAAAGTTCTCCAGCAATGCCTCACAAGGTGGCCAACAGAATTTCTGATCCAAACCTGCCGCCTCGCTCAGAGTCCTTTAGTATTAGCGGGGTGCAGCCTGCTCGAACACCACCCATGCTGCGATCGGTGGATCCACAGGTATTGTGTCTCAGTACAGCCTCCCTGTTCTTTGCTGCTCAGACGCAGCTCAGACAAGAATGTGACAGATTATTCTCATCAAAGGTAATGTCATCTCTAAGCAATTACCCTGTTTAACAAGCATGAACATTTCGGAGACAACACAGAGTCAGATTCTGCGTCTAGTTTGTCACAGACTGATTCAGTCTCACTGCTCATTTACTGTTTCCTCCTCCTCCCCTTATCTGAGGGGGAAATAAAGAAATGTAGCCTAACCATCACAATCACTATATTGTCTTCTGTATAAGGAGGGATAATGAAAATTAAATGAGGGATTTTTAATCATCGTATGAGTAAAGTTTGTAGAATAGTAGCAATCTCTTCGCTGTTTGAAGTCATTCAGACCTAAGAGATGTTCTTGAAAATGCTCCTTGAGAAGGTAGACAAGTAAGAAACACAAATCCCTGCAAAGTAGGATGCATCCTTTACTCTTCTGGGGAGAAATGGAATCCGTGAAGCTGCTTTTGAGGCAGCAGATGCCATCTGGGCTTGTCTCCCTTGACCTTCCATAGAAAAAGCAGTGGCAATGGAAATCTTTGGCTGGGTGAGTGACCAGAAGCAACAACAGTGAGAAAATCATCATGGGCTGGAAGGGGAACTTGTAGGCAAGATAGGGAGGCTATGCGGGTCAAATCTTGACCACGGACCAGTGCTTCCACACTTGCGATTGAGACAGTCAGCACACACCGAGGTAACCATAGTGTGGGGAATGAAAGATGTATCAACCTGCTCTTAACCTTGCTCTTTGGGAGAGGGCTCAAAGGTCAAATCATAACTAAACATGCTCAGAAACGTGGATAAAGAGGGGTATTTAAATAGTGTTACAATGTTGTGGAATTGTGTTTTATCTTTTGGGAGTGGCAGTGGCACGCATGAAGAATTCAGAATATCTTGTTCAAATAACATAGATTTCATTATTATTTAAAACAGCCTAATGAAAAGTCCCTGCAGAGCCATTCTGGGATGCCCAAGCCATGCATGTGTTTGTCACATTTTCCAAACTTCCGCAGAATTATATATGTAAACATATTTGCATAATATATATTTAAATAAGTTATGAATCGAATGTGACATAGGGAAAGTATATGAGATATCAGCATACTTGATGGATACCCAGAGAATCTACTCTAGAGCAAACTTGGATTTGCTGCCTACTTCGATTCCTGGCAACATGAGTGAAATGAATAATACTAGACCATGTCTTTGCATTTCCATGGTTCCATTCATCACCAGCTCCACTCCAGATCATCCCTTTTTCTCCTTCAATTGTGCAACAAACCTTGTGCTTCTACATTAGTCGGCTTGCTTATAGGACCATCAAGCAGTGGCTTCCATGAAAGAGAAGTTAGAGGATACATATAAAATGCTGCTTTGGTCCAGGATGGCAATTCTTTCAGCTCACTTGTGACCTTTTCCTCCAATTAAAGTAAAACAAAGTAATGGCCAAGGTTTTTGTTTGTTTGTTTGTTTGTTTTTTATGTAATTGCTTTTTTTTTCATTTCCTTTTTTTCCAGCATATGTCATTTACAACATGGAACTTGAGTGTTTGTGTTAAAACTAAAGGAGGGAAGTACATAGTGTCCAAGCCCCCTTGCCAGTAAAATAAGACATAGAATTTAAGTATCTTAGGGGAAGTGTGAAATAAGCAGCTGCACATAGCAGACTAAATTACGATATGCTTTGTTTGGTTTGGGCTTTCCTTCTTGTGTGAACTATTAACTATGATTGGTAAGGATTTATTGGAATGTATTGTATAAACCCAACCAATATTGGTATTGTGAGTATATCATGGATCAGACAAACTAGGGCTTAGTACAGGGTATGAACATGGCCTGTGTCTGTCCAAATTATACTTAGACTCACAGTCTTTATTTCCAAACAAACAAATCTTATTTCAGTCAAATACCAAGTCTTTTATTTATTTTTCTCTTGCAGCTGATAAACCAATTACAAAGTTTTTTTTCCCCGTTTCTCTTTTGGCAACTCAGTGCAACCAAAATGAGGAGCCACCAGCCTTGCAGATGAATCTCTATACATGATTCCTAATCATTATAATTTTATAGTAGTGTAAATGCAGAAAGTGTAAATACACTTTTTGACAACTCATCAGAACCTGAAACTCCTGAAAACAGCCACTCCTCTTTTGAAACGTTCTTTAAAATAAAGAAGCTGGGCCCCAAGGATCTGCCATACCAAGCCAATTGGTGGAAGTAACAATAATCTATGGAAAACCAAGTTTCCTTTGTTTTTGGATATACTAGACCTGCCAAACAAAACAAACATTTCATATATAACTTTCTTATATCATTTCATAAATAACACATTATCATATAACTAAAAACTATGTTCTAATGGACATTCTTAGAGGAATAGAATTCAGGCCAAATAAGGAATCTCATCTTTGGCATTTCCTGACCTTCATCCACTTACTATTTTAAGATCTGAATCTTATTTTTTTTTAAATCGAATTCATTGAAAAAACAAAACTAAAATAAAATTGGGGAAACAAATATTTTTTTAAAAAAAAACATGCTTCATTACTATTTCTTTTTAATAACTTTTTTCCAATTTATACTGATGGTTTTGTTTTAACTTGGTGCGTAGATTCCACATCTGGTCAGTGTGAAATCCCAAGGACCTTCCTTGCCTGCCTCTCAGTCACTGCATGAACAACCCACAAAGGGAATGGCTGGGTTTCAGGAAGCTCTAACGGTGACCTCTCACCGCACTGAGATGCCAAGGCAGAACTCGGACCCCACTTCCGAAAAGCCTCCTCTCCCCCCTCGTGTTGAAAAGTTTGATCGAAGTTCTTGGTTACGACAGGAAGAAGACATTCCACCAAAGGTAAAAATAAATTTAAAAAAGGATCATGCTAACTTGCAAAATTCGGAACAGGAAATAGCTTAAACATTTGCGGTGGTACTGCAAACCTCTCAGGCAGCGTTAGGGACTCTTTACCAGCATGGCACTGGTGTCTCCTGCATTTGAATGGTCAGATACATTAACACTTGAGGACATGCTTCGAATTCCCTTGAAGTCAGTAACTGTAGCTCTGTGAAAGACCACAGAAGGTACCAGGTTCAGTCTCCAGTAAAACTGCCAGTTGGAGCTGCCAGAACCCAAATGCCTGCTAGATGGCAGCAAAGAGATACAGAAACTATATTTTTGCTACCTTGAAGTGGTTGTCTGGTTTTGCTTTTGCTTTTTTTTCAATCCAGATCTGGTAGACCAGCAGCACTCTATTTATTCATTCATTCATTGCATTTATATACTGACAAAATCCAAAGATTCTTAATAATTTACAGTAAAATATAGACTGATGAAGACAAAAGCATAGTAAATCCTGTTTAAAAAATGAGGAGGCAAATAAGAATGGAAGGGGTTTGCCCCAGAGTTGCTACCAAAAGAGCAAATGCCATGGAGCTGCATCAATGGTGCATCCCTTTTTTGGGGCTGAGAAGCACCCTCCATTTTTTAGTGACCGCTGAAAGACACTAAAATCAGGGCCGCTTTCCAAAATGTAGTGGGTGGGACCAGATGAAAACTTCACTGCTTCTCAGTTTCAGTGTAATTATAATTAGAGTCAATGCAGAATCTATCTACTTTATATTGCATTTAATAATTACAGGTAGTTTTTGCCTAACAAGCACAACTGAGACCAGAATCTTGATCATTGAGCGAAGTGGTCATTAAGCAAAATGCCCACATGTCTGCTTTGCTCAACAACTGCAATCCAGGCACTCCCAGTTGGGGTCATTAAGCGATCTCCCAGGTCATTAGGTGGACAGAACTGTCTGCTGAAGGATTTCAGCTCCACACACAGCTGAAATCCTTCAGCAGACAAGCTCTTTCACGCCATCCTCTTTCCCCTCCCCTCTCTC